TATTGGTTGGTTGGCTAACATTCCTAGTGAAGAAACTACCTAGGTGCTGCCCTCCCAAATGCCAAACTCAAACTAGTTTCAAAGTTACATGAAGATTTGTCTATCTAGTTACCTATCTTCTACACCATCCACATGTCTTGTATATATCTTCCTCTTCTTTTGTCTGTTTTGGATTTATTGTAACAAATTTGAAAGGAACAAGAGAATGTAATCTGTACGAAGCTTCTCTAGTGGTACCCATGTCGTTACTTTGGGACGTACATGGAACGTGGTGGTCCGTGTCCACGTGAGTTAACTTGTCATGATTTTGGCTTCAAATTTAATGACAACTACACTGTTTATGTATGTAACACATGGAAATTTTACTGCTAGCTGTAAATTCATTTCTGATACTGCAAACAGATTCATTGCGGTGTAGATAAGCCCTAATAAGAATACAAAATGTTAATGAAGGACTAGTTTGTCTTTAAAAATAGGAAAAAGAAAAAGTACTTGCTTTACTCTAACAAACTATAATTTCTGTTTTTATTTCTAAACTATGTCATAAAGATTTTAAAATAGAAAGTGCACCCGCGTTTGCTTCTACTAAAAAAAGTTTTAATTTCTGATTTTATTTCTAAATTATTTTCTATAGCATACTTATCATTAAAATTTCAATAAAAATAAGGTATATGACGATTTGAATAAAAAACACTTTAATAAATTAAATTCTACTTTAATTTGAGAACACTTTTTATTGTAAAAAAAATGAAAACAATAAATATAATTTTGATTAAGAAACAAACATGAACACAAATTTTTTTTAAGTGATCGTGTCATTATTAACTCATTTTCAATTTTAATCATTAAATCATACATTAAATTATATATTTATATACATGTGTCATATATAATTATATATTAGTAACTATTAATTCAAGTATTAAAATATATATAGTCTTGAATCCGTATCATTTGTTGTTATTTAATAATAATAATAATAATAATAATGAGTTGTCACTTTTTAAAATTTTAGTAATCACATGATTACTTTAAATTACATTACATATAATTAATAAAATTTACTATTTTTTTTAAATAATAACAATGATAGTTGTAATAGTTTATTTAAAAAATAAGATCATCAAGTTACTGTATCTCAAGACAAATTATTGAGTTAATATGCTTATTATAAGTGTCACTATTTTGTTATTTAATTTTAAATAAGTAATATTACTAGCCAAGACAAAAAAAATGTTAAAGAATAGTAATAATAATTATAAGAGAAAGAGTAAATAAAACATACAGAGAATTTTTTTAAAAAAACCATATATCCATAAATAAATAAATAAATATGATATTTACGTGTTATATAAAAAGAATGAAAAAAAATTAACCTATATCACAAATCATATGTTTTGTATAGTAGGCCCACATGATTCATTCATCAGACCTCCGTGTGATCTACCCCTGTAGTGTTTGATAGTCTTCTTTTTATATAGGTAAATGAAATAATGTAATAGAATAGTTTATCTAAGATGGGACTTCCCAGGTGAAATTAAGAGAGAACTTCTCAAACTTACAACTTCTTAAGCCTCATAACGTAACCTGCAGATACTCAACTTATAACAAACCTATGACCCAAAGTGATATTAGATAACTTCTAAAGCCCGTAATTTATCTCTTTTCTTAATATATATATATATATATATATATATATAATATTTTAAGTTTACCCTCATATACTAATAACTAGGTTTGTACGTGCATTACGTAATGTGGGTATGTCTGCCTCTAATTTGATGATAAAGCCATACAAAGTATCTTAGAGCATTTTAATAGCACTTATTATGTGACTCACTAAAGTCACACAGAACATATTCTATACATGTGTGTTTTGAAATAAATTTAGAAGGACTCCTGATTTTTTATTTTTTTTCTAAAAATAAAATGTTTTCATTAATAATAATAATAAAAAAAAGTCTCGAACTATTTTAAATTGTATTCAAACAAACTAATTAGTTTCTACTTTCACACGATAATAAATTGTGATTTTTTGGACAAGCAAAACTCAGATTACCAATTACGAAGGCACTTGTTCTTCTATACTATTACTTGCCAATATAAAGCGCAAGTCTATAAAGCCCCAACCTTGGTTTCATTACAAACTCAAAATACAACCCAAGAAAAGAGAAATGTGCCCACTCATATACCAGACAAAGTAATCGATATTAACAGCTAGCTCTAAGCTATTAATCGTTTTTGCAATATGCAGAAACCATGACAAATCGATACTTGTTATTTAACAGCTTCTCATGCACCTGTATTTAACCAAAAATAATGTTGTAGTAGAATTGCTTTCCACTATTAACCATAATCAGAAGGAGTAGCATTCCATTATATATGAACCGGAATCAAGATTGACAATCATACGAGTTTAGAACGAGATAATGTTCTAAACCTTATTTTTCTCTTTTTCCCCTCGCCGTATACCAGAATGTAACATGATATGTTTTTTCTGTAGGACCACTGAGGACCCCAGTCAGGAATAGCAGCTTAGCCAAATTTCATATGCTAAATTACATGAGAACAAGATATGATTCAGTGATCTACAGATTCGCCCAATATGTTAAAAAATACCAGGTTGTCATATTTACAATTAAGAACACTCCTTTCTAAACATGCTTTTCATGTAAATGGCACCATTTTTGGTGGAGCCTTGGGATTCTTTATTTAAGATTTTTCCCATTCGAAAGGAGCTCTCCGCCACCTAAAATTCCATCTAAATATTCCTTGATGCCATTCTCCAAACTACTCGACTTTTCCTTCTTTTCCCGCGGATAGAAGATAAAGCCTATTGGAATAAAAATAAAATCTCACATTATTAAAATAAATGAATTTACAAACACACATGTTTGTTAAATATGAACATAGGTTTATAAGTATAAATAATAAGTTGTTTAAATGATGATTAAAAATAAATTTACGATAATTTAAGTATAAAATAGATAATATTATATTAATATCAAGATTTGAACAATATCATATATCACGAAAGATATCATGATCCTTAAAATATATATATATATATATATTAAAAAAACACAAAACAACCAAAAACTTGTTTCCTTTCTATTCCCTACTTTTTTCCTAATCCCCCTTTTTGAACCCACCGTCTCTCCTCACCTTACAATTTTCCAAGACCCTCAAGTTTTTCCACCCTTTGGACACTTTATTGGAAGTATCTCCTATATCTTCCAATTATCCCAGCCCCATATATTGAAAGCACCTGATACCATAATGATTTTTGTTTTTCCCTTTTATTTAACATTCTCAATGGTACCATAACGCCAACTTAAAACCATTTTTCTCTTTAATAGATTCGCATACTGTTTCTCATTTAACCCAAGGAATTTCTTTATATTACCAGTATTCAAAGCCTACCCATAAAAAAATATGTCTGAATTTCTGAGACTAGCAATCACTTTCTTTGGTGCTTTATAGAAAGAAAGAAGATACAAACGCTAATTTTTGCCATATATTGGGTATGCCAATCAGTATTAAAAGGGATTATTCTCCAACCTTGCAATTTAAGAACTCAAATATCCACTCTTAATTTCTTATTATTCAAAGGTTCATGCCAATAATCTTACACTTGTATGGAAAATTCACTTTTAGTCGAGAAGATACTCTTGATAGATTTCATGTTATTTTTACGAGCTCTCCAATTCACTTTTTTTAATATGGATCAAATCAATTATGGATATATTTGAATTTTTTTACACACCCGTAAATAGGAAAAACAATAAAAAATGATGGAAGAAAAATACAATTATTATTTCAACATGAAAAATAGTACTCATCGTGAAATTATATTAATTTAAATAAAAATAATAATATTAATTGCATATTCTTTAACCTCGTTTGAACAGAACAAAATTTATTAAAATTAGATAAATTTAAGGTCTTATTACTTCTTTTTTAAATAAGTTATGTTTAAGGATTTTATAAATTTTATCCGATAATAAAAAATGTGATAGTCAACATATTGTCTAACAAATTTTTTATTAACTAAAGTTTATTAAAAATCACTTAAACTTTGTATGTCTTGTTTTATTTAATGAGTTTCATTTGAGATTTTATAAGTTTTAATAAATTTTGACCAATAATAAAAAGTATGTCAGCAAAAATGTATTATGATAAAATTTGTCTTTACCCATAATCAGCACTCTTTTTACTTAGAGGAATACATTGGATTATGATTTTAAAATATTTAAAAGACTTTTTTGTTATAAAATTTTTCTTGTATATGTTAAAAAATTTAAAATTTTCTTTTCAAAAGGTGTGTATGATGTATATTTTTTTTTACGAGTTAAATGCATGATAATAAAAAAAAAAATTATGCTTGGAATTCAAACTTATTTAGAAGTCATTCAAGTAAGCCAAGAAACTAAAAAACAAGAAGTAATTCGAGTTGATAAATTTTTTTAGAAGTATATACTGTTATATATCAATTCATTTAGCCTAATAATAACTACAGACAAAGTGACAGATGGTTACAATTCATCTGTGTTGCTAGATAACGATATCAATTCAAGGAGTGCTGAATTGAGGCTTGTACATTGCTTATTTTAGATTGTAGCAATAATAATGAGAGAAAAAAAATGATAAATGCTTGTGTCTGAATTTCTTGTACTGTTACACAGGTTGTATTGATAGGATATTTCTTGTAACTTTTATCTTTGTTCTTAATAATATTATATTTTGCTAATAAAAAAAAAAAAAGAAAAGTGACAGACCTTTTTCTTATTAGCAGATAAAATGCCTTTTCGTTGTTTAGTATAAGTAATACTGCTTAAAATTTTAAGTCCTTATTGTTAATCTGATGCGATTTCCATCGTGATCGACACTTACCAAAACACAACCTTAATACTGAATATATTTAGCAAGTCAATGATGAACGTTAGAGAGTTAAATCATAATTTTTATTAGTAGCCTTTAATGTAAAAGAAAAGTATAAATAATAAAGAAATTAAACATGACCATTTTTGTGAGATTATGCCGTGAAAGATGAAATATACTCGACGTCATCCACAAACGTGATTATTACCTGAACTTACATTCATGGCACATCTAAAACTTAATTAGGTGTCGGCAAGTTGGATTATGGTTCTGTGCATATATGACATAGAAGTAATAATAAGCATGCATAATACAAGATTTCTAGAGACATAAAGACATTTGAGCTGATCTATTACTTGGGTCAAATTAAACATGTTCTCCCACGCAGGCAAGGTCACTTGGGGGTGAAGGCCTGTAAAATAAAGATAAAGTGAGGAAAAAGAAATTCATAATAAATGAAGTGACAGTGAGAGTGTTGAACTTACAGCAAAAATGGTAGCATGGCCAGGATCAGCAAGGTGGGCAAAGAGGTTGTCAATAGGACCAGTGCCGGTGTATATGTGCTGGAACCAAGCACCCATCACAGCCAACATGGCCAATCTCCCATTCTTTATCTCCTTAGTTCTCAACTCCTTTATCTTCTCGGGAGAACCACTTCCCCATCCGAGTGGGTCAAACCAAAGCCCACCTGGGTACCCAACATCGGTTCCTGTGAGCTTGTTGTTGGGAAAGATGGGGTCAGTGTTCACACACCCGGGCTTTATTATGTCGGCCCATCTTCTGCCCTCGGCCCACCCAATGAAAAAGAGCTCAACTACGAAGAGGGTTGTGGTGTCTGTGAAGTACTCAAGTTCTCCAGCTGTGTACCATGAGGGGGTGTTCAAGATGCCTATCTTTGTTAGGAATTCTGGAATGAAAATCCCTGCAGCCCCCAACATTGCCCATCTGCAGTGCACTAGCTCTGCTTGAACATTCCATCTCAGACTCTCCGGATCAGATCCTATCAATCAAAATCCACTTTTTCATGTCTCATTTGTGCAATTCCAAACATGTTATTCTTCCTAAATGAAACTCACTTCTTATGCGATCTAATAACAGAGAATGTGTTAAACAAATGGATGATTGAAAATACTGAGCACTTACCAAGGCCAAGAGGGTCAAAGCCAAAGTCTCCAGGGAGAGTGCCATCAAGCCATGGAGGAGGGGTGCTGCCTGGGAACCAGAGAGGCCTGTCAGGGTCAGCTACTGCACACACTGTAGTGCTGGATCGTCCTCCAACTGCTGTTGTGTATTTGTTCATCCTCAATTTCCTCCCACTAAGAAAAGAAGCTTTTGGGGTTCCCAAGCTTGATCCATTCTTCTGGGAGCTGTACACATTCATTAATTTAATTTCATCAATTAATGCTTGAATCAAGTTTCATTAATGTACTATTTACATTACTTAGAGACACAGATATTAAATAAATTTGCAAATAATGGGATATACAGTCGATCGACAAACTTGCCTTGGTGTAGAGATGGCAGCAGATGCAATGGCGGAGGAAGCACAGGCGGAAGCCATGGGAGGCTGCTCTCTCTGATTTGATGATTAGTTGGTAAGAAATGAAAATAAGTTGATGTATTGAGGATCTTCTTATCTTGAAAGGATAGAGTGTGAATGGTGGGTTGCCATGTGGCATGCGGAATCTAATTGGATAGCTTTACCTCAAAAAAATCAAAATCTGGTGGCTCACAACAACAAGGGGACATACATGCAGATTCTTATATTTTATGATCAATCAAACATTTTGCGGGACCTATTCATCTTAGCTGGATATAAACAAATAAAACCATTTACATTTACTTCAATTTCTCACCCAAAACTACAGTATGCTCCCAATCAAATTCACATTTTGGTGGGATATGTTTCACAGGAATCTTTTATTCACAATAAAACGATTTATATAAGAATAAGATTTTTAAGAATATTTTTAAATATAAAATTTATTTTCTATCATTTAATTATTATAAAAAAATAGTTTAATAGTTTTATATTTAATTACTATAAGAAAGTTTTATTTTCGTGTATTCAGTTAAAAATGTTTCATTATTTATTAATAAATTAACATTTAAAAGATTCCCTCAATTTATTTTTATTCTCTTCTATTAAATATGAAAACACTTTATCCTCATTTTACTTCGATCAGAATTAGGAAAAGTTTTTTTTTTTTTTAAAGATTAGTCTGCACATGAACTAAATCTGCCTACATTCTAATACATCTCCTTGATAGTAATTACCCTAAACTAATGGTGAATATTTACATGAACCTTTTTAAAAATAATAAAATTATATGAAAAGAGACATATTATAAAATATAATTTTGTAGTTATATTTTGTTGCTTAAATTTTAATTTTTAAAAAATTAAAATAATTATTTAAAAAATCCATAAGTGCACAAAGAGTCAAATTAGCTCAGGGTTACTTAATAATCCTCAATGATACAAGTGATAATGCAGACAATTGTTATTAGTCATCTTAAACAAATTATTACAAGAAAAATCAATAAATCGTTTTTTAAACCAAATTCCTGTTCCTTGATATCGATGCTGCTCAATTTTTTATTTTTAAATAACTCATCTTCGATAAAATTCAAAAAAAAATTGTAACAAAAAAACTTCAAATAATTTAACCTTATCATTCCATATTCATTGGCACCTTCAAATGTAAATTTGTGGCATAAATAAGATACCTCATCAGTCATCTTTCCATCAATTTTGTTCCCTATTTTTTTTTATGTCTTCCATTTCCTTTTTATTTATTTATATATATATATATATATATATATATATATCTTATT